TTTTTTCTTCTTCTTTTCTGCGCTATCTTGTGTCTGATCGCCATCAACATTATCCTGTAGGTTTATCTCTTGCCCAGCTATGTCGGCAGGATCCTCTTGAAGGATCAAGTCGTTCAATGGCGGGGGTATAGCGAACGGATCGTCAGCTTCTGCATCGAAATTGAACGCGTCGCCATTTACTTCCATTTCATCCATAATGGTTGTAAAGTCTTTTAAAGATTAGATAATTCACGTATTTTGGAAAGAATTGGGTTTTGTTTACAATCTTCTCGATATTCCCGCGCAAACCCGCGAAAATTTTTTGACCAAACACTGAGCGCTATGTTTATCTGAAGTGAGCTATACAAGTAAACCACAGCAAGCCCAATAATCAAAATTTTCAAAACTCGGGTTATTCATGACATTATAGGATGTTTTTAATGTATATTCTTGTATGTGCCATAAATTTATTGTCTTTATATTACATGGTGAAGTTTGTTTTGGTTTTAGAAAACACCATTTATTACTGTAAAACTTTTGGGTTCACAGATCGCAAGCATTAATTACAGTTATAATAAACATGAGTTTCCCACAAACAAATATTGTCATGCAATCATACAAAACAATTATTACTAAAAATCAGCTAATGTCATCCATCTGTTTATATACAAGCTATTGCCACGCTATCGTCAGTGATCTGTGAATTTAACAGTATTTATGATAATATGATTTTGAGTGTCTAACACAGTTCTTAGGTAGTCTCGTCAACCCAGTCTGATGAATCGTTGGGACCATCACATGAGGCTGCTTGTCCATCATTGCTCGTGTTAATTCTTGATAAAAATGCTTCTAACAGTTTCTTGTTGAGGTGGTCAGTTTGTGTTGGTTCCTGAGGGTTCGCTTCCTCTGAATTGTTCTCGGCTGTTTCGGTAATGACGTCATCTTGTTCACCATCATTATCCACCTGCATCTCACTGGTATCAGTTACCACCGCTGCACTATCACCTGCCGTCCCCAAACGTTTTTTATTGACCATCAGTGCTTTTAAACTCTGACCTCCAACAAAAGTGAATTAAAGCTTCCAAACTCTTTAACTTACCTCTGGTAGTTATAGAGTGTCTGAAGTAATTCCTGGTATAGGACAATAAAGGTTTAAAATAGAAAAGAGTTAATTTTATGTCAAACCAAAATTACCATATAGACTTTTGATGAGCTCGGTGACGTCGGCATACAATCGGGTTCAGTTCGTAGGTATACGGTCATATATTTGAACTCCAATTTTCGGGAAAATTTCTTTAAAAAAAGACTATATATATTTAATTTTAGATAGTAAAAATATTCTATACTGTCTGTATTTTATTTTCATGTGTAAATTTCTTGCAAGAAAGCTTTTGGGGGCAAATTTAGAACTGAAAAATTCATGCATTTTATTTTGTCACTTACGGAGATTTCCGATGATGTTTCCGAGGCGAGGCGGTTTCAAAATGGCGACTCAATGATGTACAAAAATACAAATTTTATAAAATAATCATCGTTTTCTCTCCTGTTTATTAGTTGTTTTCAGCTGAAATTATGCCTAAGAAGTTCCAGGGAACAAACACGAAAGCCGAGGCGGCCAGAGCACGAAAAAGCGAGACAAAAAATGCCGAAAAAGCGCGAAAAGAGAAAGATACTGAGGACAAATATTGGGAAAGCTGGGAGTCTTCGGATAGGAATGAAAACAAAAGGAAAGAAAGAAAAGTGCGTTGTTTTTATTTGTTTATCTATGTATTTAAATCATTTCAAATAAAAATCTATAAATGATATTAAAAGGTTGAAAGGAGTGCCCTCCTCCCCCTGAATTTACATCATCAAACAATTAGCCCCCTCCCCGGTATAGACACCACACCACAGAATAGAGACGTTACAGAAGGCTGAATGAGCGAATAAAGCCTAACCGTCGCCACATGATTTGTTAGGAACATGGCAAGTGCATTTTAATGAGTGTGCTTATGAGAGGCAGTCACCCCCCTGAACATCCACCATTTTTTTTTAATATTTTCAGGGAGATGAATGCCTCTTATAAGAAGATTCTGTGATGACACAGAGCGGCTAGGCAATCGAAAACTTTAAACATTGTCGCAAAGTTTTACATAAAAATAAACAATGTTTTTGTTTGCAAATTTCATTTTCTTAGGAAGACAAGGAGAGAAAACGATTGGAACAACTAGAAAAAAAACGAGCAGCGAAAGAACTTCTGGAAGCTGAGGAATCAAAACAGAAAGGCAAGACAACTTCGGCCAAAGTGACCAGATCTGAAATCTCAAGTTTGCAAGAAAAAGAGGCGGAAAAACGCAAAGCTGCAGCAGCGAAACCTGCCAAGAAAAATGTAACAGTCGACGATGCTCCCCCTGAGGAAAATATAAACCACCTGGTTGTGGACACGTTGGCCGCAGAGGGTGGGGTCGAGGCTAGAAATGTTGAAGACGCTATATCTGTTCTGTCTGTCGATGATAAACAAGAGTCACATCCAGAAAAAAGGATGAAAGCAGCGTTTGCGGAAGAAAGACTACCAGCTCTAAAAGCTGAGAACCCTAACATGAGATTATCACAGATCAAGCAAATGCTTCGAAAAGAATGGTTGAAATCCCCGGATAACCCCCTTAATCAAAATTTTGTGGCATATAATAAGTAAAATTATATTATAAGATTTTGCTTGAAATTTAACTAATCACATTTTTGTACTCACAACGGCAAAATTCTTTGCAAGCATTTGTATCTGTGAAATACAGATGGTTGAGTAGAATTAACTTCTACTCACTGGTGAAGTGAAATTTTTTTCTCATAATTTACCTTTACTGCACATGTATTTTTGCCTTTCAGATCTTTAGAAACAAACTAATGTATACACTCAAGTATATGTTATATTAGTTTCAACAACTGTTTAACTGTCCACATTTTGGGTATCATTTAATGTTTCCTGTTTCTGCTGACTGTTCTCGATTACATCTACAATTGTCATTCCTGAGCCGGTCGAACCAAACACACAGTCGAGTCGTTTGTTTTTGTCCCACACAATTTCATCACAATACTTGAAGTACTGTATACGATGCTTTGGAATTGCCAGGATGGTTGGATCCACTGACGTAACATCCTCCCAATCGAAAGAATTAAACGAGTTCTCAACGATGCCAAGAAAACGATCCAGATACCCAACTGTGAAATGTTCTGGGTTTAATTTTTCATCCCATTGTATACGGTTTATAACGTCAGTTGCTGTTTTCATTGGCGGCTTTTTCCTCGACTTTTCGCTTTCTACGATGTTGGTTTTTGGTTTTTGTAGTTTGTTTTTAATGTTGTTTGTTTTGTTTTCAAAAGTATTTGTTGACTCATCTTCAATTGTGTCCTCAGTGGATAATTTCTCATGAACGTTGAAACATGTGTCTCCAAATCTGCATTTTCCTTTTAAGAAATATTGACAGATAGTAGCACCCATTTCCTCAGATTTCTCAGTGTTTGTACCGTCAAGCCCCTTCAGAATACTGGTATCATCTCCATGCTCAAATATTTTCTCAGCCTCTTTCAACAAGCTCTCTGCAAAATCGGCTTGGCTGAGATCAAGTTTTCGTTTTGTAAGGCACTCCTCCAGAAAATCAAGTCTTTCATTCGACTTGTCGTTGATCACAATGACTTCTGAAAGTTTGTCTGGAGCATCTAAATAAAGAAACAACCATTATGCATCCATTACTTTCTGCTGCTGCTGCTGCATTCTATTTTTGTTGCTTATTAAAAATTGCAACAGAATAGCACGTATATGTATGTTGGAAGTTTTTTTACCTGACATTTCATAATACACAGTAAAACCAAAGCTTGATTTCACATGAGGTATATGACCATCACTACTAATATCAGCACTTGCAGATTGTTCCGAATTACAGTCGACAGACGCCATATGATAAACAGCAATGAAGTCAATTTCAATAAATACTTTGATAGATTCTACGCTGGCTAGATTCTAGTTCTGTCACTATATATTTTGAAAGCGTCTATGGTTTCAACATTTTATATAGCACCAAAACGGTCTTAAATTATAAATTTCGTTTGATGGTGCAATATGAAGAATATAAAATAGTTATGACAGACTATATTTTTAATAGATATCACCCGGAAGTAAACAAACCAGAATGTAAACAAATGCCACGAGATTATTGCGTCACTTACCCGCGTGCGGAACTCGCGAGATGCCACGAATTGCGCGAGGAGACCACGAATTTGACGCATGCGCCGTAAACGTTTCACGTGAAGTCTCATTTCTCTCCCAACGTGAACGACTTTTGCTCGGAGGTGACGAGAAAAAGAGCTGTAAAAAATATGCTTTCCAGAGGCCTCAGTTCATCGCTAGTCCGTACTTTAGCAAGAACCTCATTAAGGGTAAGTTACTGCATAGTTTAGAGTTGTTTAACGGAAATTTTGCGGCTCGTATGAGGCAAAATATGAAGACAAATTTTGGCCTTCCTATTTGCCGGTGTGTAAATCAAAACTGACCTCTGCTTTATTCATTTGCTAAGATTTTCCGCTTTTCATGTACTCTAAGTAGCCAAGCGGCTTAAATATATGTGTATGTATGTATAGTTTATTTTTAAAGAATTTATCCAGTTTACACAATATTTAAAAGGTTTAATGCAGGCTAGTTCAGCCTTGTTGCAAGTCGTACATTTTGTATAGTTTAAAGTTGTATATTGTATTTCTTTGTGGTGTATACATTGTACAAACTTGTTGCTTAATGCTTCATACTGCTGTACTTACATATAAAACTAGCTTCAGAAATAAATGCATTCAAGAAAGTCTGAAAGGCTGCAATATTAGGACAAATTTCAAGTGCACATGCAACAGACAATAGTATGTTTTGTAATATAAACTTTGTACTTCAGGGGGGCTATTACCATTGAATATAGAGACCATACAGAAAGCCAACTCAGCCAAAATAACGTAACCGCCGGCACGCCATGATTCTCGATGATTTGTTGTCAAAATGCACTTGCCATGTTCCTAGCCAGTGTACTTATGAGAAGCATTCACCCCCTGAATGTCTGCCCATTTTGAATATTTTCAGGGGGGTGAATGACTGAATGCCTCTTATAAGCACACTGGCTAGGACAGCATTGCAGCGGTTACACCAAAATCATAAGTCCAAGTTAATTTCAAAAGCTATGTCCTAGGTACAAAGTCCTTCCACACACATTTTGCAAATGACACAGTCTTGCAGTAGACCAGATTGAGTGTAAATTCTCCACTAGAACTTTGTGATTTTTGCCATAGGGTTGTGTAAACAATGTCAAGCCTGCCATCAGACATCTTAGCACAACCAGCAGATGTTTAGCTGGGCCAGGTACCGCCGAAGTTTCTTCGATTCTCGAAGAAAGGATAATTGGCACAGCCACTAAAGCCGAACTAGAAGAAACTGGCCGAGTTCTGTCTATTGGTGATGGTATCGCTCGTGTCTATGGCCTCAATAAAATCCAGGCCGATGAAATGGTGGAATTTTCTAGTGGTTTGAAGGTAAAGATAACATTTTATGTTTACATATAGACCAGCACATTTCTGTACAGAAATTACCCATACAAAATCTGGCTGCAAAACATTGAAAACAATTAAAAATTTAGGGACGAAATATCAAAGACTGTCACAACCTCGTTCCCAGGCTCTTTGCTCTTGGGAAGCAAAGACCCTGGTCGGAGCTGGTCACGTGAACCCCCAGATTTTGGGGGTAAATTGAATTTGACCTCAGGGAGGGGTAGTAGAGTAGTCTGTTTGTTGCGTTTGGAAAATTGCAACTTTATGTGTTATAATTTCGGGTGATAAAAATGTAATTTGCAACAAAAGATTGTGAAAGGAACTGTTTTAAATTGTACCGATCATGACAAGACTTCCTGCTGT